TATATATATATATATATATATGTATATATATTATCATCTACAAAATGCAAGTGTATAGGGTCAACTTCAAAGATTATCTTAACTTTCAGCTCCATTAGCAAATGATAAAAGGAAACTAGGTAAAATGTGAATAACTAGTGGATGAAACAAATTAAATAGTTTGGCCATGTTTGCGGTTGAAGTGAAAAATTATGAATATGAATACATCCTAATGTTTTGAGTGCTACTGTATGCGAGAGTAGTAGTCATATTTATACCCATGTCTCCTTTAATTTATGCCATACCCAACTAATCTTATATTTAGAATCCATCTGATTTTATTGACATAGCTCTTCACTTACTGTATCTCAATATAGTATATTCTAAAAAATGTCTACAAAGAAAACTTTTGCCTGCAAACTGCACAATGATCAAATTTTGAATTTGGTTAATTATTTGAGACATTTGCTTTTGGGTGGGGAAGAAAAATAAAGCAGCATCATTGGATTTTGTTAAGAATTTTTGTAGACATTTAAAAGTGCTTTCTTTTAAGGCTATGATTTCATGTTTTTTAATTTTTGGAGTCTCTGACTATTTCACAACTTTGAGATAAAAAAAAAACAACTTTTTTTACCCTCCAATTGATAACATTGTAAACCATTTCATATTTAGTTCAAAAATCTTTAATACAATCTAAACAAAACATGTCATCTTGAAATCACTTTTCAGTCAACATATTGAAACATGAAATTATTTTAAACAAGATCAATTATAATAATTGATTATTGAAAAAAAAAATTCACAACTAATCCACATGCACGTTTAATGTAATTATCATTAGTTGTCAAATTCTCTCATTTTGATGTAAGTGCTATGTGATCACTGGTTTTTAATTTCTTCCTTTAATTTCTGATGTCTATTTTTTATGATTAAATTATTCATGTAGCAAGCTTGTCTGGGGGCAGAGTGGATGCCATGGAAGAATTAGATAGTGAAGATAAAGGAGTCTTGAATCGAATCAAGTGCTGGTTTCTTTCACACTCGCAACATTTGAATTTCCTTACAATTCTGGTGCTTGCTTCGGTTAGTATGGACTTCAGTCTTCATTTCAAGCATGACATTATTATTTGTTAAAATGTTTATGCAGCTTCTTTGTAATTTCTTGATGTATTACTTTGATGTTATTAATATTGGTAGCCTTTTGTATTGGACAATTTCCTGGGTGTTTGTTGTTAGTCCTGACTCCATCCCAAAACAGCCAATTCTTCTCAGAATCTCAGCAATAAATTTTGCACACCAAAATATATGAATGTAATTTTGATGATTCACCACATTCATATCAATGAATTTGGCCTCAGTTTTAAGATTCTTTCCATAATAAACAATGGTAGTTACTTCCTTTGGGTGGGAAGTGGCAAAAGTGGCTGTGTAAATTTTAGCCATATAAAGTAGAATTTTCTTTAGTGTAAGCTTGACAGGACAACCTATGCTTAACAAGTCAAAATCTTTACTCAGCAAGTACTATTTTCCTGTAAAGGTTTCCCTTTCGTTGTCCTACAGACAATAGTTTCATCACTGTAATTGCTGATTGGTTTTGCATCTTCATAATCCGTAGAATGTAAATGAGTACTATTCCAATTATCATGCATGAAGACGATGACGTGCATTTTTTTCAGTTCAAATGTGGGATTGAAAAAATATATATTAGCGGTTAGCAATTCCTTTATTTGTGGTGCATCCTCCTCTAAAATAGCAATTATTATATATGCTTTATGAACTTGTAAACAGCTATTAACTGATTATATTTCAGGTGCCAAATCCTCTATTTGACCTTGCTGGCATAATGTGTGGACAATTTGGCATTCCATTTTGGAAATTTTTTCTTGCAACCATGATTGGAAAGGCAATTATTAAAACTCACATACAGGTTTGCATAAGTCTAGACTTCTCATCACGTGTTCTTATGTCCTAATTTAGCCCTTTTTAAGTTTCATTGGCTTTGCAAAAACTCGTAATTTAGATTTGTGGAAAATTTTGCATGATTTTGTGGAAAGTAAGTCAAGGAATGGTCTGTCTTTGTGGGAGCAGCGTGATATTTTTACATTTTGTATATACTAGTACTACCATTGTGCAAACTCTCTAGTTGGTCTTTCCCATTAATATTTATATTTTTATTTAAATAATGCAAATGCAATATTTTTATTTTAATTTTTGTGAGAGCTCTTAACCTAAATGGCGAACATTTCTAAAGATTTATGACCATTACCTATATTATTTGTGATCTAGCACATTATCAAAATGGTAAACAAGAGCATGGTAGATTAGCAATTAAATAAAGAGTAAACAATAAAGACATTTCAGTTCTCCAAATATAAAAGTGTCATCATTTTGATCCTCCAAATAAATACATTAAAATGGTACATCAATGCCAATTTTCGATGAGGTTAGTCCTTCAATGCCATTTTTTTTTACCTCAAATTAGTCCTCCAAAAGAACTGATTTGATCAAATTTGACATCGGAGGACCATAATTATGTTTTTATTGTTGAGAACTAAATTGGTGGCGCTTGTAAATTTGGAGGATCAAAATAAGTCTTTGCTTTTCAATAAAATAAAAACCATTCAGACAGCTAACATTCTATACCTACAAATTGACTCATCCTGTATATTTATTATTTTTGCAGACGATATTCATTATCTCAGTTTGCAACAATCAACTTCTTGACTGGATTGAGAATGAATTTATTTGGTTTCTCAGCCACATACCTGCTTTTGCTTCTGTCTTGCCTAGGCTGACTGCTAATCTCCGCACAATGAAAGATAAGTATATGAAAGCACCCCATCCAATTTCCCCAAATAAGCAGGTACTCACTAACTGCGAAATGTCATGTTTATCAATGCTTCCCTATGATTTGAATTTTATCAATGCTTCTCTTTGATTTGAATGTTGAATTCCTTGATAGAGTAACAACTTCAAAGTGTTGATGTCTTGGACATATTTTCTAATTTATGCTGTTTATTTTTCGTAAATTATTTCATGATATCATCTGCAGGGGAAAAAGTGGGATTTTTCTTTCGCTTCAGTTTGGAACACCGTTGTGTGGCTCATGCTTATGAACTTCTTTGTCAAGATAGTGAATGCAACTGCCCAGAGATATCTGAAGAAACAGCAGGAGATACAGCTTTCTGCATTAACAGAAAACTCAGACGCACAATGAATTGTTTATGTTCTGCTTGTATTAACCCTTTTTTTGTGGTTCCTTTTTCAAGCAGGTAGTTGAAATTCAAATTACAGCGATTCCTTATGGCCCCATATAGAGATTACCCGAAAAATCTGCATTAGAGGTCTTGCTAGGAGCTTTTAGGAATATACACATTAGGCAACTAAAGTTGCAACTTTTATATTATTTGTATAACTTTGGGGCAACCATTGGATTTTACATTTAACCCCATATTAATTGCTGCTACAATGAAAATTATGGGAGTCCTATTCTTTTGCAATGGCAAGACTAATTAGTTCCTATATCTCTCACTACTAAACGACAAACTGTTCTCTTTTGCCACCCTTTAACATCAAGCACTATCGTTAGGCTTTATTATTCGTCTCGGGCCTCTGATGTTAGTTGCCCCCATTGAGATAATCATGGATTGTGATTTCAACTTTTTCATGAGTTATGCCAATGAGATTTCCTAATTCGTGTCTAAATCAGTTTCCAATTAATGTCCGGTGAAAAATAAACGAGCAGAACTTTTTCGATTGAAACTTAATTCCAATAATGCAAAAAAGAGCAAAGCCACGTGTGACTTTCATGAAACCGAGTTACCGTTTGTTATCTATCTTCTGAAACAAACGTTTGGTCCATTTCCTTTAATCTATTCCCGTTTAAATTTCCGCCTTCACTTTTCTTAATATTGCTCTTGCGGTAGTAAGCACTCCTCATCTTGCTTTAGAGCTCTCAATGTTCCGTGTCTTTTGGACTTTTCAATGAATTTCCAACTTTATAGCTCCAACAAAGGAATGTAATTCTCATGTTGAAAATTTTACAAGGAACACTTTTAAATGTGTTTTTTTATTGACCGATATTTAATAAGAATTACAAAATTGAAGTTACACTCTTCCCTATGATTTTATAGTTTCTAATAAATTTTAATTAAAAATTAAGTGTGCGTTCTAAAAATGTATTGTTAGCCCTTTAAACTTTTGGCCTTGAATGTTGAAATGTATATTGTTCCCATCCATTTTCTGTATATGTTAGAATTTGGATTGTTTGGACCTAACCTTAAACAGTTGCACAAGGCAAGCTCTTCTGATGCCTTGTTTGCAGCGAAAAGTTTAGATAAAAAAAAATATATAATCAATTAATCATCGTGTATCTGAATAACAAGATCCAAGTTCATGTTATGGACAATTTGTTGAAAATATATTGCCTTTTTTTCCCCTTTAGTTTATTCCGTCACAACACGAGCAGTACTTTGAAATTTTGCGAAGTGCAGGGTGGTAAACGCTGGTTATGTTATCTCTACAGAACCAGTGTCTAGTTAACTGATTGCTAACCAAGACGTGAATAATGAGAACCAGGTAAAACAGGCAAAAGGATTTGATTCAAAACATGTATAGAAGTGGAAGTACATGTTATAAGAGTAAGATATTAGGCTTAAAGATTACTAATAGGAATTATAAGAGGGAGAAAATGAAGGGAGCCATAGCGCAAGAGCTTGAGAAATGAGAATAAAACTTAAATAAAATAAATCATAATGAAATTGATACTGAATCACACAGTGATGCTCTATTTATAAAGAGGCAAAGTTTATTGGCAAACTAACAAAGTAATTATCTCTTAATTCTATTGAAACTAACACTTAACTATTTGCTTCTCTGTTGATAACTACTACTAATATCACTATCCCATAACACACCACGCATGATAATACATGACTAATATTTAAATTGTTATATTAATGAAAGTGATTAACTTTTTAATAATTAATTTAAAAGAAATATCTATAAATTATAATATTATTTAATGATATAAACATATTAAATTTATCTGGTTGGCAGATAGTTATGTGGTGAGGGATTTTATCCATGTTTGGCATAAATGACAATACACCTACTTACACAATCCCTTTCTCATTTTCACTTAACTAGATCATTTGGTTACTAATTTTGATGTCATGTAAATATGATCTTTCTAGTTTGATTAAGAGAACAAAAAGATTAGTTCATTGAGTTTCTTATTCTACTTAATATTAATATGAGACTCCTAACATTATCACTCCTTTTAAATGTCAATGTCTACAACAGCTCTCATGCTATTAACATCGATCATAGTCCATTTTTCCTTTGAAGGTTTCATAGAATTACACCTTAATCCAGTTTATAAATAGCTCTTTCTGTAGCCCAACTTTCAGTGAAAGCAACAATAATAGGTTGTTTTATCAATCCTATCAACCAAAGTTGTAAAGTTACTCTAAATAAAGACTAATAAATTATTGTACCGTAAAATTCATCATATTTCATAAGGATAGCACCTACGGTTGTCCTTTTTAACAACGGTTATATTTCTTAAACAGAATGGGTTATTGGGCTTATTCAAAGTCTTTAAGCCATGTGGGTCTTTTCCTGATGATCGTTTTGGGTCTCTCTGCTTCAATATCAGTTGTTGGGTCGTGTGTTGAGGTAGTGGACCTGTCAGATTGTTATAACGTGAAGGTATTATTATACATAATTAATCATGAAAAGGGGATCCTGTTATTTTAATTATCATTTATTACGTATGTGTATGTTAAATGTTTGGATTATTCTTCGTTGTTGGACGGTGATGTTTAATTCCGCGTTTTTCTTCGGGATAATATCCGAGGTAGGTAAGTAGATGCAGATGCAACGTTGTCTTTTATTGTAACTTCATTTAGCAATTGATTTTCTTTATCATGTCGTGTTATTTCAAACTGCAGTGTGAAACTAATTGTATTCTTCAGTGGATTGAGAGTTATAACATTATAAAAGAATTCACATAGATTAATAATAATAATAATAATAAATAAATAAAACGCATATTTTTTTGTTAAAATTTAAATTAAAAATAATTGTGAGAATTGATGAAAATTACAATAATAATTATTGTTTATCTTTCAAAATAATTCGTCAACAACTTAGTTCATCTATCTAACAAATTTCTTATTAAATATATCACGTTAAACATACATGCAACAGCACATTAATTGTTTGTTGAAAAATATATGTGACGTCAAAGAGATATGCTATTGCTGATTGATTGACTATTGTACAGTAGAAAGGCTTATTCAAAGTAAGCGAGAAACGTGGTTTCTTCTGATTGGCGGCGCAATAAATTAAAAACTAAAACAAAATTTATGGGCTCGACCGTTCCATGGAAAAAACATGTCATGCTGGTGTGTACAATTTTTATAGTAATATTTTTAGGGGCGGGTATGCGGACCGGTCCGGCCCGTTTAAGTCCCGGTCCGCGAAGTTCGCATTTTTAACGGGCCGGATAAATCCGGTTCGCGAAATAAATGGACTTAAATCTTCAAGTCCGTATCTGGCCCGTGAAGCCCGCGGATAAATGGATAAGTCCGCAGACCCAATTAAATCTAAATTGTTTAAATGAATATTGACTCAGATTTTAAATTTCTTTTTCTTTATTTAACTTATGAAAACATGAGGAAAAAAAAAACATATAAAATGATATAAATATACTTCTAATAATAACATCAAACATTGTAAATAATAAATTAAAGTCTTAAATAACAAAGTTTACACATTCTAAATTTTTAATAGAAATATTTAAGTCTCAATGCCTTTAAAATTTAAAGTCCAAGCATACCAACTATTAACCAAATATTAAAGCCTTACTACCTTAAAACTTTAAAAGTCTTAATACACAACCAAACAAATATAAAACATTTGTAAGTCCAAGTACATCAAAGTCTAAATACCTTAAAACATCAAAGTCTTAATTAATATCTTAAAAACAAACATAAAATATTTGTAAGTCCAATTACATCTATCAAATATAATCAAGCATCTTCAATAATAAAATTTGAGTCCACATTTAAACGGGTAATCCGCGGGCTCGCGGATTAAATCCGCAAAATCCGCGGACTAAACGGGCCGGACCTAAAAAGTCCGTATGATTATACGGATTAAAAAAAATGGGTCCGTTATCCGTGAAGTCCGCGGACTTACGGACCGGTCCGCGGACTCAAGTCCATATACCCACCCCTA